ACTGAGTGTAGAGGGAGACACAAATCTTTAATTATAGGAATATTATATCTAGTTTATGTATTAGGAAGTGGTCGTGTAATAACTAATAATTAACAATAAAAAAAATTAGACATCTTCTTCCCAAAACCTTAATTATAAATACTAGGCGAATGAAGACTGATAAAATAAATTAGTAATGGCTCCGCCACCTTCAAAGAAACAAACGGTGCGGCATTTCACCGATCCGAAACACCCACTCCACCTCGTCACCATCTCCGATGAATTTCAATGCAACGGGTGCCGTGAGCTAGGTTCCGGCACCAGGTTCCGTTGCAAGGCCTGCGATGTTAACCTCCACGAGTTCTGCGCCACCTGTCCGGCCACCATCCGATCATCGGTTCTCCAGATCAAATACCCCTTAACCCTAGTCAACGAGCGACCGGCGACCGAGCGGATATGCGACATCTGCAGGGACCCCGTCAAAGGGCTCCACTACTCGTGCCCCCCGTGCGCCGTCGAGGTACACCCGCTCTGCACCCAGTCGCCGCTGCACGCGCGGCTTTCGCAGCACCCTGAGCATATTATGAAAACTCCGGCAGATGAGGTTGATATGCAGACAACCAGCGGAAGCGAAAGAATTAAAAAACGGTATATATTTGGTATTTTGGCTAATGTTGCTTTAGCAGCGGCGACAACTGCCGTTATTGGAGTTCCTTTGACATATTGTTAATTCAGAGTTATTCAAGTAAATAAGGATGCGGATATATGTATTCCATTCATCCATGATCCATCGTTTAAATTGCGTGTATAATTATATTGTGTGGCGCATGCATCCGCTCATGGCCATAGAATAGTATATTATGGTAAGAGCTGATGGAGGTTAATTCCCCACAGATTCGAACCCGTGTGGGATTTGTACCTATGAATCTTCTCATTCGGTGCACATCCATCGATTTGCAATCTTCCTGGCCGATCAAGGGGGCCGGCCACTTGACACGGGTAAGGGAATTTTTCTTTTTAAGGATTGATCTTTAAAAAAAATAATAAGTGTGTATTGTGTGTTGTATTGATCATTTGTGTAACCCAATATGTTTCTCGTCGTCACTGCAGAAAATTTGTACGTGTGCATATATGATTAAGCGTCCCGAAATTAATAAATTCATCAAGTTTTAATATTTGTGCGCATTTAATGAATTCATAAAACGCAAATTATTTTGACAAGTATTGAACGAAACACTTCAACTAAAAAAGAAACGAAAAATAGTAAAATGAATAATTTAGTGGTATTTGTATTTTGGGCACTTCACAAATAAGCTCATCAATTGGTGCTTATTCATAAAGGGGTTCAGACAATAAACTCTTTTACAAAAAAGTTCACACATGGCCTAGAGGGTTTGTAAAAGACTAAAATAGCCCATCACATTTTAATATGCTCCAATTGCATCATTTATTTTAATTTAACCTCAATTTGACCCCAAAATAGCCCGTCCGGCGTTGACTTTTTCGATTGTTTTTTCTTTAACATCTTTTTGCCCCCCACCCCCCACTGCGTTTAAACAGCGATATTGCTGTGGTTGACAGTACTATTAATTATATTACTGTTAAACACAGTAAAATTAATTATACTACAATGTAACACAGTAATATTGCTATATTAATCTCTAGCAAAGTAATATTAACACAACAAAAGTCACTATTATTGTGTAATACAGTAATATTAATACGTTGACCGTTCAACAAAGGTAAACATAATAAAAAGCCAAAAGAATTAATATTACTGTGGGTGACGGTAATATTACTGTAACAACAATAATATTACCGTCAACTACAGTTATATTATCGTGTTTACAGTAATATTACAATAATAGACAATAATATTATTATGTTATTCCGTGAATAACTCAAACAAAACAAAAAAAAAACCCCAAAAAAATAATAATATTGATGTAGTTGATAGTAATATTATTGTGTTTACAGTTATTTTATTGTCAGCAGTAGTAATATAATTACGTTGACCTGTCAACAAATCAAACAAAATAAAAAAAATAACGAAAAAAATAATAATAATACATATGTTATGTACCCAAAAGTATCGTCGTTGTGTGTGTCAATGTTCGCACAAGGCTGTATATTCGATAAACCCAATATATATATTTTCGCACATTATGACGCATTGACGTCTAAAATCGTATTATTTGATCATTTTAGACTCCAAACCACTCGATTTATGAACGTACGATAGACACTTAGAGTGCTCTAGTCATACAATTCTATGTAACTCTAATACAATTATTATTTCAATATATATATATATATATATATATATATATATATATATATATATATATATATATATATATATATATATATATATATATCAATTTTCTACATATTTATTAACCATATAAATTCGTATATATTTAGTTTATTGATGTTTTTACGCAGGTTTTAGAGCCATGTAATGGCTACTAATTATTGATAAATTAAAAAATTCTAAACATTCTGCACAAATAACGTATGCCTAGAGTACTGAAAAAGTTTCGTCGATTGTTATATAAAGTATATGTTATGTATCGAAAAAGTATCGTCGTTGTGTGCGTCAATGTTCGCGACAGATCCAAGAAGCCCAGATCGCGATCTGGGCACATAATTCGAGACGAGATATTTTTCTTTGATTTCTTACTATAAATAGAAGGTCTCTTATTCATTTTTCATGATCTCGACAATATCAAGACCTCTTATCTCGACATTTTCTTCGGTTTTCGCCAGTTCTTCGCAGGAAGCTTCGACGAGGGTTTCGACTCGAGTTTTTCCATAAGCTTTTTCTTTACATTTAGTTTATGATTTCTCTTGTTCTTCATTTGGATGCTATGTTTGTAATGAACTAAGCATTTTCTTTTAGGGAAATGAAACCTTTTATATATATATATATATATATATATATATATATATATATATATATATATATATATATATATATATATATATATATATATATATATATATATATATATATATATATATATATATATATATATATATATATATATATATATATATATATATATATATATATATATATATATATATTAATTTTATATAAAAATAGTCATTTCTTGAAACTTACAGAACAAATCACAAATATCTTTCTTTTGTCACGTGTATATCTCTCCTTCTTTCTCTCTCTATCGTGTTACTCTCCTCTCTCTTTCCCCTCTTTCTCATGTCTTTCTCGTCTCTCTCTAATCTCATATATATCTTTTACCTCTCTTTTACTATTCATTTGAGACAAAAAAAAAAAAAGAAAATTAACGTTTATGCTTTATTTTGTATTTTTCAGGATGCTTTTTTTCTTCTTCTTTTTTGTTAGTTGTATAATACTGTTATATAATATTAGTTGTATAATTGCAAACATTAAAGCATCAAAATTTTTTTTTTGATTTGCAACAGTCCGAGAGAAATAATATTGCAAAAGGCAATAACAAAACAAGAATGTAATAGCAAAACAAACATTTTCATTAGCAATTACGAACTTGGAGTTACATTAGCAATTACAAACTTGGAATTTGTAACGTGAGTGTAAAACATGAATTCTTTTTATGAACAAACATAAATTATAATTGCAAACTGCAGTACATGGATAACAAAACGAGGCCTCCACTGTAGTGTGAGTTGGTTTCCTTTTTCTTCCTTTTTTAATGATGTTGAAAAGTCATTTAGTGATTTTTTTTTTCTGTTTTATGGCTTGACCGTTGGAAGCGAAAAAAAGAAAATATAATGCATAACTAAAGAATAATCCAGATAATTTTATTACAAGTATCAAATATCAAACAACTTATGCAAGTGATGCATCCTCCGAAATGCTAACAGCTAATAAAAGCATTATATGTAAATAAACGACACGTGAAGTAACTAAACAAAATGGTACTAATTGACAGTAGCAAACGTCATATGTAAATACAAATTAAGATTTCAAAATTAAAAGTGCATTAAAAAAAACATTACGAAAAATAAACAAAGAAAATTGCCAAATCGACTAATATATGAGGAATTTCATTTTACACTTTGCACATTGTTGCACTCTAATAACTAAGAATTTTGCAAACGGCGATTTCAATCTATATCGAATTTCAAAAAAACTAACAATACTTGCCAAACAATACGAACTATAACAATTTGTAGACCAAATTTGCACTGCTGTTTTAACTCAAGAAACTCAAAATGCAGATCACATGCATGATTAAGAAAAAAGACCCATCGATACCTTAAAAGTGGAGGGAAATTGTACCTGACATCGATTTCTCTGAGACAAAAAGGCTCATAAAAATGGACGATTAAATCATTATCAATTTTTTTTTTAAATATATGGATTAAATGCGAGAATATTAATTACCAAGGCCGTTACGATTTTGCACTATTTTTCTGGCAAATGATGTTCTCTAGTAATGCGGGTACGAGATAATGTACAAATCAAACAACAAATCCCAGATTCAGATCGATTAACACCAAACAACATACAAATCAAACAATAAATCCCATATACAGATCGATTAACACCAAACAACAGATGGAAACTAAACTAACATCAAAACATTTGAAGCTTCTTGCTATGGAAGACGAATTGCAAATTCGTTAACATGGTTAGCAATTCGCAAAAATTTCTGGGAGGAGGACAAATATTTCGGGTAGAAGATTGACGTATAATTATTATTATCATTGATTTTTTGGGAGATAATTGAGGGATTTATGGTTCCGACAAGATGGACAATTATATTGGAATTTATTAATTCCATATATTATCTTGGGTATTTTTTCCAGAATAACTAGAATTAATTTATTAAAAAGTGAATTTGATTTGAATTTTTATTCACATAAAATCTAATATAAAAGGGGGTGTTTCTACCATGAGATCCCAAGAAATCGAACTTGTGACCATCTAATAGCATATAAGAATACATACCAATAAGACACAACACATAATTGACAATAAACTAACAATGCGGATATATATCACAATGTATAATGATTATAAAACTTATATAAATAATGTTAAATAAATTATTAATTCTCATATAATTACTATTTTATATTAAAAATATCCCATACTAACAAATCTTTATATAATATAATTTAAAAATCTAAGGAAATGCTAATCAACTCGTGTAATTTAAATATGAATTTCAAAAGAATTTGAAGTTTGAATTGAATCGTAAATTGTAAGATTTAAATAAATCGTAATATTTGAATCAATTAAACTCGTGTGTTTTCAATTAAAAAACAATATTCAAAGATTTGATCGATTAAGCTCAACTTATTTCAATTCGTAGACAATATTCAAATACTTGAATCGGTTAAACTCCATAATTTACAATAGCGTATTAATCAAACTATGTATAGTTAAAGTTTAGTATCTTTTTTTTATCGAATTTTATCATAAAAAATAATAAAATTTAATTAGTAAAAATCGTAAGATTTAATTGGTTCATGGTTAGATTCAATCTTACGATTTACAATTTGATTCTTACGATTTTACGAATTAAATTATTATTTTTTGTTAAAATTGAATTAAAAGGATAGTAGACTTTAATTATAAATAGTTAACTCGATTAATACGTTCTTGTTAGTGGTTGAACTTAATTGATTCAAAATTTTGAATAATATTTACAAATTAAGAGGACTTGCGCTTAATTGATTCAAATAATACGCTTTAATTAATATTATGATTTGATTCTTATTACGTAATTTAGGAATTATTGTTTTATGATAAAATTGAATTAAAAATGTGTTCCACTTTAATTAATAATAGTTAATTTGATTAAGACGTTCTTGTCAATAGTTGAGCGCGCTTAATCGGTTCAAATATTTGAATAATGTTTACGAATTGAAAGGACTTGAGCTTAATTGGTTCAAATATTACGTTTTGATAAAATATTACGATTTACGATTAGGTTCTTACATGTGTTAGGAATTAAATTTATTATTGTTTATGACAAAATTGAATTAAAAAGATATTATACATTACTTATAAATAGTTAAATCAATTATGTAACACGTTATGTCAATAGTTAAGCAATCTATTCAAATATTTGAATAATGTTTACTAATTGAAAGGATTTGAGCTTAGTCGATTCAAATCTTACTATTTGAATAAATTAAATATTAAAAGAAAATTCGTAATATAGTATTTGTAGTATATAATTTTATTTTAAAGTAAGAAAACTACTAATTGGAATGAGTTATAATTTTTTCTTCTTCTAAATAAACATATTATTTTTAATTTTAATTTGGATTTGTCACACTATCAATTTAATAACATAAGTGAGTTTGGATTAAATTATGCATTTTTATATATTTAATTGAGCATTCTTTACATTTTTAAATGGTGAAGTTTATTAATATTTTTAATACTATATAATTAATGATAGATGTTTGGCGTATTGAACTGCAATTCTTTATATTTTTTAAACTTTATTATATTAAATTTGTTAATAATTATTTAATATCATTTAATAATAATGAATAACGCAATTAATATTTTATTTAACAGTAGTTATACAATAATGGTTAAAAATATCATAATAAGTTAATGTGCATGGATGGTTAAGGGTGTTGTACTAAGATGTCACAAATTTTATCCCTAATGAATGCATTTTTTTGAATTATTTATCAAATAAGACTCGGTCACAATGAATTTAAATTAATTATTTAATTAAAATATAGTAGGAGGTAAATTAGACAATTCAATGTTAATCTATTTTATATTAATTTAATAAAAAAATAATAATCGAAGGATAATTTGGTAAAATACTTCATTTTTTGGAACATAAGCCATGTTATTTTCCTAGGGTCCAGATTTAATCTTAGAAAATTAATGGTAATTAACACATATCTCATATAAGTTTAGAACACAGGTGGTCTCACCCTAATCAAGTCCTGTAAAAGGACCTATAGCAACTTGCCCCTAATTTTTTTACGTGCAAGGATTAGAATTTCTATAGATGTTCATAAGACAAATTAAGAGCTTATAACTCATTAATTTAGCTAATTCACACCCATTTCGTTCAATTTTTATCCCTAGTTAATTAGTTTAGTTAATTTTGTTTATTCCCATTATTTCGACGTGCAAATTTTCCCATGACCAAATAAAAGGGCACATATTTGATATTTCTCAAGTAAATTATGTTCTATCAATTCATGAAATGTGCTTACAAATTGTATGTGGGCGCGTGCTAAATCCCACACTAAAATTTACTAAATCCCACAAATAAATAAAAAACAATCTCTTTCTACTTCTTCATATGATGATTTTATCCAAGTCACTCAAAATTCATTAAATTTTGACATGAATAACATAAAAAATGAGTTTAGTTTTATTTATTTATTTAATATTTATTCAATTTTATTAAGTCTTCTTAATTGAGCTAATTGCATATAACCCCCTGTGTAATCTCGAATGACAAAAAAAGCTCTCGTGTTAAAAAAATTAACACAAACCCCCTTATGTTATCTTATATATAGCACACTGCCCCTTATTTCGTTTTTAGTTGTTGACTTAAAGGAAATGACAAATTTAACCTGAATAAAAAATTAAACAAAATAAAAATATCCAACCCAAAAATAAAAAGTTGAAAAGAAAATAAAAAAGGTATCAAAAGAAAAAAATAATTAAAAAAAAATCAAAATATTGTACAATATAATTGCTCTTCTCCGTAAAACCACCACACCCCCAACCCAAATTCGAACCCAGACAACTATTATCCATGAAAGCTCTCTAATGGTGCATCAACCGTCGTACACGTCCGGGAACTATCGTCTACCTGCAATTGCGGCGGCGTGCGGTGGATCTTGACATTGTGAGGGAGATACGGTGGTTATGGCGGCGGCTGTGGTGGAGGTGGTTATGACGGTGGTTTTGGTGGAGTTGTTTTGGAGTCGACCTCACTCTTGTACGAATCAAGGTTTAGAGAATTTAGAATCGAGGTTTGGGAGGTAAGCTGCCGACCCTCGAACCCGAGAACGAATTGGAGCCGGTTTAGATCTATTTTGTGTTGCCGACTTCCAAACGACGCCGTTTCGGAGTTCGAGTGCGGGTCAGAAGTGGGCTCGACGATGCCGTTTCGGAGTAGAAATCGAGATTGATTTTTTCTTATGAGGAAGACGTCTGAGATGGTGTGAAGCTCGTTGAGTGAAATTTTTTGTTTATTTTGGAGAAGATGGCTTTTTTGAAAAGTTTAAGGATTGAATTGAATTTTTTTGAGAACTTCAGTTTCGGCTGTATTGAATTTTGGGGTGAATCTGTAATTTTTGAAATTTATAATTTAAAGGGCATTTTGGTCCTTTTGAGTCAAAAATACTAGGGCTGGGACTTTGGGATCGGGATTCGGGATCCCGTCCCGTCCCGATTAGAATTTTACTATTTGGGATTAAAACTTCGGGAATTCGGGATTACGGGATTCGGGATTCGGATTAGGAACAAATACGGGATCGGGATTCGGGAATTGGTTCAATCCCGATCGGGATATTTTAATCCCGAATTAGAAAAAAAAGAAAAAAAAAACTAATAAACACACACACACACACACACACACACATATATATATATATATATATATATATATATATATATATATATATATATATATATATATTTGTCAAGGAGATAGAGAAATACAATATAAAACATCGTTTCAACTTATTTTTAAAATTTTCAAATTTCATTTGTTCCAAGTTTTGTGGTAAAAATAAATAGTGCAATAATAATAGTATTTATATAATATATTCAAGTTGGTTTAATGTATAAAATAATATTAATGAAAAAAAATATATATATTTCTTAGTTTTTAGCCAAAATATGGGATTCCCGATCCCAATCCCGAATTCCCGAAATATTTAGGGATACCGATATTACCGGGATTTAATATTATGGGACGGGATTGGGATTTAAAATTTCTATCCCGAATCCCGAAATCCCGATCCCGAAAATCCCGAATTCCCGAAATCCCGTCCCGAACTCACCCCTAAAAAATACACCCACAGTCGCACAATCCGCGTGTGGAGCACACGATAAGCTAGCAGGGCCCTTGTTGCCTTTGACTAATTTTCATAGGGGGATTATTGCTAATTTTTTTAACACGAAGGTTTTTTCAGCAATTTTAGATTACCCAGGGGTGATTTTTGCAAAACACCCCTTCTTAATTATTCAATTTCATATCAATTCAATTTTTTTCCTCAAATTCCAACTTTATTTTAGTTTGAACATGTGAAGATTTTTCTCAAATTTGAACTTGGAATGCTAGAGATGTTTTTAGTGTGTGATTTTGTGAAAAAATGTTATGGAAAAAGAATGGTGGAGAATGAGAAGAGAAGATTTTAGAGAGACAAATATTTTCAGTTGTTTGCAAGATTTGGTAAAATTTGTGTGGGATTTAGTATTTCAGAATGTAAATATATGTGCTACGCAGTTAACAATAAAACATAAAAGTTCCAATTTCCACACGAGAAAGAATAACATGTTCTATTACTCACAATTCACACCCTTTTTTCCTAACAAAAGAATTGTGCAACGGTATACGTGCAATTAAAACTCCACTCTCCCGTATAACTATCCACAAATTACACCACGAGACGTGTAAAATGCACTTATAGTAAGTCACGCGCGACAAATTCGATTTAAAAACATTCACAATACCGAGAATCAAATTAAACTCGGATATCGTTAAACATAACGATCTCTTAATTAGTACTTTAGATTATTGATGGATCAATATATATAATATATATATATATATATATATATATATATATATATGATATATCCGAGCATCAACGACTCACAAGGTGAGAGGAACTCCGATGAGGGAAGTAGTCACTGCTGAGATGGCAACCCTAGCCACGATTGAATATATCTTTCTCTTTCTGCTTCTGCCGCTCTTCTTCCCTTCAGGTGCCGCCGCCTCAGGTGGCGGTGCCGCCGTCGCATTCTGTTGATGATTGTTCATCATCATCATCATCTTCTGTTGCTGCTGCTGCTGCTGCTGATAATTGTTCATCATCATCATCATCTCTGGAGATGGCATCCCGTTCATATTATAACCACCACCACCGCCACCACCACCAACCATCGGAAACCCAACCGCACAACCACTATAACCCATTGGTTGCTGCTGGTACTGATGCGATGGTGACGGCATGGAGACACTATGATTCAGATACTGCTGATGCTGCTGCTGCGGCGGCGGAAGCATGGAGGAGCTACGGTTCATATGCGATGGCGGCGCCGGCGGCGCAGCAGACGGGGTTTGATCACCATCATCTCCGGCGAGAACACACTCGAGGTGGATATCAAGGGAGCACGCATCGCAGCGGTACCTCCAGGCCGTACAGCTCTGACGGCAGAGAGCACACGCGGCGGGGTTTCCGGGCTGGAGCTTCAGGAGGTGTTGAGGGTGCTGCGTGAGACGCACGTGCAGCGGCAGCTGCGTGCAGAGCGGGTGGACGTCGAACTCGCACGCCTCGCACGCGTAGAAGAGGCCGTTGACGAGGTCGCCGCAGAGGTCGCAGAAGCGGTCGTTGACCGGAAGGTTGACCAGGGTTAGGGGGTGTTTGGGGTGGAGCGCCGATTGGGCGACGGAGGGACACGTGGCGCAGAACTCGTGGAGGTCAACGTCGCAGGCGTGGCAGCGGTACCTTGCGCCGAACCCCAGCGCACTGCACCCGTTGCAGAGGAACTCGCTGGGGATGTCGACAAGGTAGAGGGGGTGTTTGGGGTCTGTGAAATGTCGTATGATTGTGGGTTTCGGTGAAGAAGCAGATCTGTTCAGTGGAGCCATTGTTATAATTAGTTTCTCTCTCTACTCTCTCTCTCATCTGCTCTTAACTCCTCAAATCAAATTACACAAAATGCACACTTGGGCATGTATTTTATTAGGGTTTTTTGACTTTTTCATTATACCCAATCAGAATCAACCACCCTTTCATATTTTCTATTAGTATTTTTTTTTAATTACATTATAAATACTTTTATTTAAAAAAAATAGATTTATACTCCCTCCATGCCAAAGTATATATTTTGTCGATTTGAGTTGTTGCGCACATATTAAAAAAACTAATAAATGTGCGTCAATTTTAGAGAAAAATATAGATATTTCTATTAATTCTCAGTCAATTAATGAATAATAATAAAGGTAAAATTGAGAAAATAGTAATTAATGCATCATTGAAATTCTAAAATGACAGATAATATAATTTGAAACAAGAAAAAAATCCACAAAGCAAATGTTAATTTCGAGAGGAAGGAGTATGTGATTACTATTTCATTTGTATGCATTAATAATTTGGTATAATAAGATTGAGACTAGTTGCAAAAATATTGATTTATTTAATGATGTGATAAATATCCATATCTCATTTATTTAAGGGTAAATTACAAACACCCCCTAAGGTATGGTCAAATTACAAAAACCCCCCTCTTGTTTGGATAATTACATCTACCCCTCAACTATGATTTTTTTCTTACACCTCCACCCCTATTGTGCCAAATTCAATATAATCATCTAGATTCCGTGGAATGTGCTCTAGTTTGTATTCGTTTTGTGTAAAAATACAATTTCCGATGCACTACAAACTGATATACACAAGCTAAAAATCACATATTATGATCATCTTACTTCATAATGTAGAGTTTGAATGGTATAAAACGGGTACAAAAGTGATAATATTTCATATAATCTCGAAGATTCCACTAAATTTGAAGAGCTGAGGGGGTGGTTGTAATTATGCAAACAAGAGGGGTGTTTTTGTAATTTGACCATACCTCAGGGGTGTTTGTAATTTACCCTTTATTTAATAATCATTATTATAAAAATGTGTACATGGTCAAGAGTGCTGACCAAGTCCATGTCAACTTACATGAAGCTGCTAGCTACAATGAAGTTTGCATTTATTTATTACACGATCTCTTACAAAAAGACACAAATAATTATTTGTATGAATTGTCTATGCAACAATCAGTTGACCTTGTTAGTTAATCCAACCACCTATCTTCTTTTTTCTTTTTTATTTTTCCTTTTCTTATTGTAAGAAGAGCAAGTTGATTGTATTTTTTTTTGTTTTATGTTGTGTCACTTGCATTATTCCAGGAACAAGCAATCTTAACGTGTTCGGACAAGCATAGAGGATTAGACTATATTTTATCCATCTAACTTCTAAGAGAGAGATCCAATCTCATTTTTTCAGGTTTCGTTAATGTATTTTCAAATCATTTTTCAAGTTTTAAAACATTGTACTAATTTTAATTTTCATGGGCTGTCCTAAAATGATCATTTCATGGCTATTGAGAGCGGATTACATCAGATGTTTCTATATCTCAAATTTATGACTTGCTCCTACGGAACCAAGGCCGAAAAGATTGATAAAATAAGTCATTATTCACAATCACTGATGAAGGATTCCTCGAAAAATTAAGGATTCGTGTTGATTTATATGCTTATGAAAATCTACTTGCTCTGTTGAGACAGATTACTTGTTACAACATTAGGTGTAGTAATATAATTAATCTTGTGTGGATACATAATTAATCTACTAAAAATCGAATAAAAGAACACAAGAATTTAATGTGGTTTGGATGCAAATGTACCATACATCCACGATGACTTGCAAACTAGTTCAGATTTAAACGTACAATATTGGAATTAATAAAAACACTAAAGACTCCCTCTTTATGTTATATATTGTTCTTGCACACGAGTCGAACTTGTTGATATTCAAAGCAATTCCTCCATCCGCAATCTTGGACTCCCTCCAATGCTGAACTCCCTTCAGACGGTGGATCTTCATTATAACCTGGTAGAAGAAGCTCGTCATGTTGCCACACCTGACACCTGACGTGCAGACATGGTACCCTTCAAAGCCTTCAAGCTGGGATAGTTTCGATTAAAGTTCCAAGGTTCTTCACTGGTTCTTCTGTCTTATATAGGGACGAAAATAAGCCTCCTAAACTTAGCTTAAACCCTAAAAAAACGATTTAACTAGGTAATAAAATCCTAGTCGATTTCTACTTCTATTCTAGGTAAGTATAAAAGATACCTAACTAGAAAATAATACATGTTAATAAATCTAAGTCCTAATAAAAATATTACAATAATAGGACTCTAATTAATTTCAAAATAAAATAGAAACAAATTTTTGCCGATTTTTTAATTTCAAAGCCTGACAAATTTCCTCAATTTTCCCTAAATGAAATTTGGCGCCAACAATTAGTATTTTTTTGTAGAAATTGAGAACGAATCCGGCCTTACACATACGCGGGGAAGGTAATCAAAAGGGAAAGAAAATGATTTTTTTTTTTTTTTTTCACTTAGAAGCCGTGTGAGATGAAAGTTTCATGCCCGGTTTTTTGCAGTTTTTTCACTTTTTTCAATTTGTAGGGGGTTTTGAAAACCCCCCCCTAAAGTATACAAAATATGCTATTTTTTTTTTTTTTTAATATTTTAATTTGTTTGTGAACGTGTCATGTTGTCTTTCTTATTTATATTGTTTTTTTACTGTTGCAGTTATTTGGACGTTTTTAATCACCGCTCGTCTTTTTTTTTTTTTTTTTTTTTTTTTTTTTTTTTTTTTTTTAAATTATCATAACTATTTTGGAGTGTGAATTAAAAAAAATGAAAACACAAAAAACGAAAATGCTCATATTTATTTTTTCTTCTTATTTAACTCTGAGACAGATTTTGGAATATAAGAAATAAATGAAAATTATTTAATTCATGGAGGGGCTGAATGAAATATTAAACAATGAAAAGTTTGATGAATAATTAATTTGACTAATTATTAATTTGCGTCACATGGATGACGAAGTTCAAATACGTATGTATATTTCAATCTGATCGTGTCCATGTATATATAAATAATTGTAAAGTTATATATATATATATATATATATATATATATATATATATATATATATATATATATATATATATATATATATATATATATATATATATATATATATATATTTATTTTAATGAGAAAGGCCCAAACTATTTTGCATCATTTGAGAAAAAACCCACTCCAAATTTCAGCTATCAATTTTTCCATTTATGTCCCTCCACCTAATACACTATCCCTATGACCCATCAGCTGTGTCTTTCTTTTTTCATTTTTTTTTCATTTTTATTAATTTATTATAAGTAATTAATTTTTTTTTTTAATTTTAATTTTTTTTTTAATTTTTTAATTTTTGTTTTTTTAAACTTTTTTTCCCCATCATGTATATTAATCGACTATGAAGCATATTAAATCGACTGTGATGAACTATAGTCGATTAATGAACCGTCTACTAAAAATACTCACAAGTTCAAAAATGCAAACTCAATTATATTTTACAAAAACAAACAATATACAAACATTATAACTGATTTATACAATTGGCATCAATAAACAAAAAATCCAAAAAAAAAAAAAATTGGATTCAGTGAAGCATATTAGTCGACTATGATGTGAAACATAGTCGATTAAGAATCTGCTACTAAAAATTAAATAACAAATCACAACTGCTAAAAATCAACTATATATCACAAAAACGAAAAATATACAAATATTATAAACAATTTATACAATTGGAATCAATAAATAAAAAATCAAAAAAAGAAAAATTTGGAGTCGATCAACCTTAATCGACTACCAGAGCATAGTCGATTAGCTTAATCGACTATGAGCATGTACATATATAGTCGATTAAGGTTAGCCAGCGCAAAATTCTCTACACGCACCGTTCTTCGCCCGATCCACCAAAGAACCATAAATCTGTCTCCCCATCGTCACCACACCGCCGCTACAACACACTATTCAACCAATCCCTAACAAGAATAAAATAAATAAAATAAATAATTCATACAAAAAAAACACAAATTAGCATTTCAATGTCCAAAAAAAAAAAAAAAAAAAAACAAAAACAAAACAGAAACGTTTCAAAGATATTTGTCAACCATTGTTGGTCAAGATCCATAAACAATTTTTGAGCACATGACAAAACCAACACTATAAAAATAATAAAAGTAAAAAAAAAATACCTTCATCAACAATTTCTGTTGATTCTCCTCCTCCGACGAGTGCTTCTTCTTCTATCTCAACAGTTTGTTCCTCTTCTTCTTCCACACGTCGACGGGGTGGAACATGCTGTTGAGAAAGAAGTGTGTTTCTCCACCACATGCCGACGACGAGTGATTCCTCTTATTTCTTTCTCCATCTTCCGGTGGTGGCGACGGCAGCGACGTGGAGAAGATTGCCGGAGAAAACGAAGAAAAAAAAAAGAAAACAGAGAAGAGAGAAAACAGAGAAAAAGAGAAGAGAGAAACGCAGAGAAGAAGAGAAGCGGCGCAATAAATTTAAAAATAAGATTATGATTTTAAAAGAGTATAATAGACAAATTAATATTCTTAGCGTAGCGAGGCGTGTGAGTTTGACGTCCACTCTCTCTGCACGCAGCTGCCGCTGCACGTGCGTTTCATGCAGCACCCTCAACACCTCTTGAAGATACAGCCATATATATATATATATATATATATATATATATATATATATATATATTGATCGGAATTTTGGATTTTCGAAAATCATATGAATATTAACATTTTTAAAACTTTCGAAAACTTTCATAAATATTTAAAGACACCTACTTTCATAAAATTATAAATCTAAAATTAGTCATATGATAAATATATAACTATAATGACTCCAATTGCAATAAGCATCTATTTTCTTTTGTTTGTAGACACCTATTTTCAAATACGACATAAATTCTAAGCCCTCTTGAAATAATAAAAGTTAAAACTATGAAGAAACTAGCAAATAAAATACTTTGGCTCTCCAACATGGAGCATATTATAGTAAAAATATGTAAATATATCATTTATTTTACACTAAGTAAAATAAATAAGATATTATTGGCATATTTTTCGGAATTTTTTTTTCGGAATTTTTATAATTATTTCGGAAAGTAAATCGGATCGTAAATTGGAAATTCCAAATATTTTTTACATAATTCCAATTTAAAAATATCAAAAAATATCGGAAATCGTAATTTTTGAATCGGAATGAAAAGAGTTGTTCTAGAGTCGGAAGGTTTCGAATAGAAACCGGTGGAAATTAGAAATTTTTGTCCTACTAGTAGTATCTCTTAAAGTGCAAAGTGCCAAACTATTTTTTTTTTTTATTTTACTACCCACTTTTTTCCTTTTTTTTCTGGTCGATTAATGGTGCAAAATCATTCGGTGTATCCTACCGGATATAACATCTACAAAACCATTATGGGGCATCCTTATAAACTCGCCTAAGGCCCCGAATTCTGATAAACATGCCAGAACAAACCAACTGAAAAAAATCAAAGCGCACGTATTGCTGAAGTAAACTGTCGATAGATAAAATGAGCACAAAATTTAAATTTGCTGCATTTGTAAATGCACACACCCACACACACCGACGTAAAAGATAAAAAGTTACAAATTTGCCACACGTAGTTTTATTCTGTTACACACTTCAATACACCACAAAAATACACGTACACTTTAGATATAGATGGATGAATATATATATATATATATATATATATATATAAATAAGTTCATGATTTTCTTGGATCCTTAAGGATAATGGGAACTCCAATAAGCGAAGTTGACACTGCTGCGACAGTTATCCTACCCAAAGTTGAATATATATTTTTCTTTTTCTTGCTTCCTTTCCCACTCGCCTCCCCTTCTTCTACCTTGCCCGCCTGCGCCGGAGATACCGCCATCTCATCTATCGGGATCCCAATAATATGCGGCGGCATAGATTCACTGCGTTTCAGATACGGCGCCGCCACAGTGATCGACGAAACATCCACGGCGAGGACACACTCCACGTGGACATCCAGGCAGCACGCGTCGCATCGGTACCTCCAGGACGTACAACCTTTAAAGCAGAGGGCACAAGCGGCGGATTTTCCGGGCTGGAGCTTCAGCAGATGGTGGCCGTGCTGCGGGAGGTGCGCGTGCAGCGGCAGCTGGGTGCAGAGCGGGTGCACGTCGAAGCCGCAGTCGCCGCACGAGTAGAAGAGGCCCTCGACGGTGTCGCCGCATATCCGGTCGTCGACCGGGTTGCTGACTAGGGTTAGGGGGTGGGTGGGGTGGAGGTCCGATTCGGTTGTGGCCGGACACGTGGCGCAGAAGTCGTGGAGGTCGATGTCGCAGTCGCCGCAGCGGTACGTACCTGGTGCCGAAACCTGGAGCACTGCACCCACTGCAGAGGAACTCGGTGGGGGTGTTGAGGAGGAGGTGGAGGGGGTGTTTGGGGTCGGCGGAATGGTGTACGGTCGTCGGTTTTGATGGAGATGGAGCCATTGATTAATTACTTTCTCTCTCCTCTTTCTTTCTCTCTCTTGCTCTTCAAATTATACATGGGCTTCGGCACGTATTTAAGGGTTTTGGGAGGAATAATAAAGTAATTCATTGTTATTTATTAGCCAATCGACCAATTCCTTTCATATTTTCTAAGTTTGATACTCCACTTGAGTATAGTTCAAGAATATTTTTTGGGATAGTCATCTGGTTGGAGTAAATGAGCTTACATTAGTTGATTCAAGTCCACATTCCCTTGCCAACGGTCACTAAAATCGAACTTGTCACACATAATTAGTCTAGTGTGTTGGTACATGTTTTAACCAAAAAAAAATGTTAACAATTCTTTTCGGAATTTTCTTTTTCCTTTTTTAAACCAGATGTTCAAGTTTTGTTTGACTAATTTTGGGAGTAGGCGGTTTCCCCCGATTCATTTACCAGATAAATTCGAATGCGGTCACGGTCTATACACATATTGAGCGTACATTTGTGGTCAAAGCAAATCACGGCCCCTTGTTTTTTTCATAACAAATCATTTCATCCACGACGCTCATGAGTGGGTTTGAACTTCGAACCCACAAGGCATAGATAATTATTCAATAACGTTAAATACATTTTACACCACTTATAAAGTATAGCGTAACTAAAAGTATCTACTACAATATACTTTGTAATACTTGCATCCATAAAATAACATTGTACCACTTACAGATATATGAGTGAAAGTTGGATGGAATGTATTATAATCGTCATTTTTGAAAAAAATCTATTTTTTTCGGAATCTATGAATAAATTTTAATTCCATGAGCCTCATAATTATCAAATATTTTGAAATTTTCAAAAGTCACACAACTTTTAAAAATTTCGGATATTTTTAAAATTTGTGAAATTTTTAAAATTTGTTGGACATTCCATAATTTTTTTGCAGAAAATTATAAGAACGACTTTTATAAGAATCATAGCATAAATTTCACCAATGATTCATTGTGAATCTCAAAAAAAAAAAGTAACCAAAAAAAGAACATTAAAAGAAAAAAAAAATCAAACAATCATCTATATTATCCAAATTATATTACGAGTAATTATCACTAGTAGAAAAATGGCTACTACGATCATTAACCGTAGCAAAATGTATCAAATTCGTACTAAAAAAGTTTTTCTACACATTTGCTACGAATTTTCCCCGTAGCATATATGGGCGTGACAAAAGCTTTGCTACGGTAAATGGCCGTACCAAATACTTTTTTGCTACGGTAAATCCTAGTATTTACTATTTAGTACGACGTCTTCAAAATTGTTCCATAGTAAAAAGTACCTTTTAGTACAACTTTTTACCGTAGCAAAAAATTTCATAGTAATAAGCAAATTTTCTACTAATGTATATAATTAACGAAAACATAGAAACAAAATTTGAATAGATAAGAGAAAGAAAGAAAATATGTGAACTATCAAATTTATGTATAAGTACCACATTGTGAAGGTCGGAAGTAGCATAATATATAGTAGATATTGTTTAATGAGTTTTCCACTAAGGCCTCGTTTGCTTACCTATATCGGATTATATTGGATTAGGTGAGATTGGATTAATATTCCACTGACTAATTAATTATTTAGTCAGTAAGATGTTTGATTCGTTAGACTAAATCTTGTATTAAATTTGTTAAATTCTGGTATTTAATGTGAATTGTCTAAAAAGTATTTTAATTAAAAAAATTAAGATATTGTTTTAAGGAGAAATTTGTATTTTCCTCTTTTAATCACCCCCTACAAAATTAATCGCAGGGGGAGATGTGCTAATAAATTAACCAAATAATAGCACTTAATTGCGGGCTTTGAGTATAGTAGCGGGCTTGACTAAATACGAATCTAATCAACCAAACATCTTACTAACCCCTACTATTTAGTTAATAGAGGTTAATAGCACTAAGCAAACGAGGCCTAAGGTAATGTGGGATACCCCTAGTTTACACGAATAGATCTTATGTTATTTTCCACTCTAGCAAAAAATCCATTTTTTGATCTTAATTTGCTACACCCTCCTGGGTTATATGGATTCCCTATTTTGCCCTTCTTATAAACGACCTAATCCTACACCCCTAAACCTCCATCTCCATTCCTCTGTCTCTCGCTATCCTATTTTCCCCTCTTCTCCATGGAAATCTCTTCGACAACTCTCTTCCTCCTCCACACAATTAATCACTTCCTTCAATCCTCCGATCCTCTGACGAGCAGAGAAGATTTGATTTCGTAGACGGAAGGCGGCGATGAGGGGTAGAGCGGTGGCATCCTTTCCTCCGATCCAAACCCCAGGCCGCTTTATATCTCTCGCAAGGCTGCTTCTTTTGCATGAATATCCGCTCATGTGATACCTCTTTCAAATCGAAAGGTAAATAATACCCAAATTTCATCCGAAGATTCGATTTTTTTCAAAAAAAATAAAATCGTTGAAATCTTTGTTTTATGGATTTTTTTCTATGGATTTTTTCTGCGTTATCGGTTTTAGAAATTTATTGATTTAATTATGTGTAATGAAAAAGTCATAAATGTTGAATATGATCATGTAAACGAAGAGGGAAGAAAATGTATGGTATCGATTTAATTATCTCAGTATGTTTTCTGGTGTAAAATTTAGTTGCATAAAAAAAAAAAAAATCGATGATGTTGAAGAAGTGGGCAAACAGGAGGCCAATTGGAGAAAATCAGCTATGTAGTCATATACATATGTAGTCATGTACGGTCATATGTAGTCATATACATATGTAGTCATGTACGGTCATATGTAGTAATGTATAGTCACATATAAGATATGTAGTATTTTTTAATGTACAGTGATGCTGATTGTTGTTTTAGTTGAAGAATTTACACATGTAATTTTTTTGATATATATTTGTGAGAATAAAAGTTGACTTGTAATACCAAGTTCAAAGTATGATTTTTTTGTGTGAATGTTGATTGGATTTTTTTTTCTTCCATAAACAATAGTCTTTTTATTATATAATTTGTTAAATATGACTGAGCTACACTATATTATCGAAAATATACAATTTTAAGTTATGAAGCAAGAATATGACTATAGTCGACTATAGTCATATATAAAAATATATAGTCATATTCGAAATAGTAAATTTCTCGGGTAATTTTTTTTCAGAAAAGCAAATAAAAAAAATAAAATTTATATTTAATTTTTTAATTAAAAAAAATATTAAAAAATGAAAATGCTTAATGCAGTTAGGGAAAAAATTGCATGTAAGTGCATGATAGTCTTTTTACCTCTCCAGGGGTATCTCAAAGGAAGAATTTAGGGGTGAACCTAGGGGTGGAAATTGGAACGAAAATTCCGATTTCCGCCGAATCCGATCCAAAATATTCCGATTTTGGAACGACTTTTTCAATTCCGAATTCCGAAATTCCGATTTCCAAAATTCCGAAAAAAATCGGATCGGAATCGGAAATACATAACAGAATTTCGGAATTTCCGATTTCCGATCCGAAATTATTCCGATTATTTCCGATTATTTCCGATTTATTCCGATTTTTCTATGGTTGTTCGTTTTTTTTTCTTTATATTGGGAGTTCGTGTTATTTCAAACTTGAATCGCTCTTTTTTTTTTATGTTTTATTTGGAGTAGCGTTGTTGATTTATATTTATCCTACGAAGGTGTGTGCTTTTATTTGGTTTAAGAAATTGTTTGTTGTTTATTAAGAATATTTGTTTGGATTTTATTTTCAATTAAGCTATGTTTGTGAGTCTGTTGTGTGTTTTGGTGTGTCTGTTGTGTGTTTTTGTGCGAGTATGTTCTGTTTTGTTATTTGTGTGAATCTCTTGTATTTGTGAAGATTACTTATTTGATATTTCTTTCTGCAATTTGGCTACTGTGTCGGTGATCAATTTTTCCTCTTTTTTTTTTTTTTTTTTTTTTTTTTTTTTTTTTTGGGAAAATTCCGAAAATTTCCGAAAAATTTCCGAAAATTTCCGAAAATGAAGATTTCCGAAAAATTCCAAAAAAATCGGAATCGGAATCAATTTTTGAATTCCGAAAAAATCGGAATCGGAATTGGAAGGCGTTTTGGACTTCCGAAAAAAATCAGAAATTTTCCGAAACACCCAAATCCGATCCGATCCGTCCGATTTCCACCCCTAGGTGAACCTATCCTTATTTATTTTTCATATTATTTTTGTGTATATCAAATGGCCCCAATTATGAGAAGGATTGTAATTGAAGGTGACTCGATGGAGGTTATTTGCGCAGTCTGTGAACCTGCAATTTCCGAAGCTACGTACGGGAATATTATTGAGGATATTAAGCGGAAGAGGGAGTGGTTTGAGCATTTTCAGATACAACACATTTTCAGAGAGGTAAATCAAGTAGCTCATGAAATAGCAGCTTTGTCAAAGATGGAAAATTATGCTCTTGAGGATCTTCCTGTTACAATATGTAACATTATATCTGCTGAAAAACACGTTGAATAAAATTGCAAGCTTTTTCTTCTAAAAAAAAAAAAAAAAAACAAATTGCCCCAATTATGTAATATATATGGTAGAAAAATTAATCATAATTTCTGATTTTTTTGTAAATTAAAATAGTTGAAAATTCTGAGAATCTACATATATTTCCAATTTCCATCCCAAAATATTCGAAAAAAATTGGAAGTCAAAATTTTGGAAATCGAAAAAAGGGTGTGTCAAAATTGAAAAGACTTGGATCAGAATTGAGCAACATTAAAAATTCGGTTCGACTCTCACCACTACTGATCCTTTAAGTCTTTAACTATCGTTTAAATTGTATATAATTGTATACTAAATTTTAGAAGGCATTAAATCGAATTGTTAAAAAAAAAAATCAAACTAACTAATATATTAAAAACAAATAATTTATTAAAAAAAAAAAAAAAACAAATAATTGAAATGGGCAAAGCAATATCTTGGAATTACATTCCATTATTGAAAAAGTCAACTCGACTCAGCTCAACTTACTTATTGAAAACAAGTAATTGAATTGGCCAATGCAGTATTTTAGATCTTAAAATTATGCCACTGAATGGAATAGTTAAAGAAAAGATAAGCCTAAGAGCCTGTTTGGCTAAGCTTATAAGCTCCTAAAAACATCTTATAAGATGTTTAGGAGCTTATAAGTTGTTAAAAAATGTTTGGTAAAAAAATTGCAAAAGATCTTATTTTTTCCAAAAATAAGCTGTTAGGGAGCTTATAAGATGTTTTTAAAAAAGTACCTCTACCCCACCTTTTTTCTTTAAGATCTTATTTGCTTCTTTACTAAAACACTTAAAATACAAAATTACCCTCAAATACTTTATTATATTACATGAATACTAATAATATTTATATTTTATCAAAACAACGTATTCTTGTAATCAAGATTAATAATTAGTTAAATATAATTATCGTAATTATCATAATAATTGTAAAAAGAATTATTCTCTATTTATATTTTATATGTATATAAAAATACACGAATATTCTTATTATCTCCATAATAAATTATATTTCTTTCATCCAAAAAAAAATATATTTCTTTTACAACTTTTATTTTATATTATTATATAATTTTATATTATTATTATTATTTGAAAAAATAATTTGTAAATATTATAATAATATTTTAGGAACAAAAGTATTTGAGTCAAATAAGTTTAACAATTATACTGGCGTGATGTACTTTTTTGTCATTATAGCAATAAACAGACCTTTTATTTCCAAACACCTGAACAACTTATAAAAACAAAAAGTAACTTATAAGCTACATATCCAAACACCTTAAAAAATAATTTTTAAAATAAGATCTAACAGCTTATCAGCTCCTAAAACATCTTATCAGATATAGGAGCTTATAAGATGTTTTAAATAAGCTTAGCCAAACAGGCTCTAAGTCGTGTATTTTTCCTTTTAACTATTTCATCCAATAACAAAAGGTTATCATAGGGGTATTAGTTTATTTTAAAATTTAATAGACGAATTGAATACAAATACCCTTCAAAAAAAAAAAAAAATTGAATACAAATAGTACTTTTAGAGGCAATTATTAACAACATGAAGTACTTTAAGGGTACAAATTGTATTAAATAACTCTATTCAATACTACCCGCTCTATATGTAGTACGGACACGGAAACGGCGATATGGGATAACGGGTAAACGGCATGTCCAAAAAATGGAAATAAAGGCACTTAGAAAAATGTGTAAATATTGAAAGTATAAAGGCATATGTATATATAAATATACATAAATTCATTTTAATATATAGTTTTTAAATAAATAAGTTATCATTTATTAAGAATTATTATAAAATGTATTAAATTTATTTACTACTAACACCGTTAATGTTTCAGTATGAGGGGAATAAGTGTATTTTTCAAACCACAAGGGGCCAAGTGTTACATATGACATAGTACAAGGGGTAAAGTGTATCTTACCCTATATATTTCCATACAAATATATTGAAAGCAAATATTATTATCTAAGTGTCAATTTGCAATAGATTACTAAACCATGTAAATAATTAGTTAAGTAACAAAAATATTTATAAGTTCGCTATACCAACATATTTCTAACTTTTCAAAAATTACAAAATGACCCATGAAGTGTACAACAGGTAGGGGTGCAAGTTGGAACGGGATTTCCAATTTCCGCCGGTTTCGAACTGAAAAGTTCCGATTTTGGAACAACTTTTTTCATTCCGACTTCCGAAATTCCGATATCCGCATTTTTCCGATTTTTTTGGATTGGAATTGGAATTATATAAAATAAATTTGGAATTTTCGATTTCCGATCCGATTTAATTCCGAAAGTAATTGCGAAAAATTCCGATTTTTTTCCGAAAAATACACCTAAAAATAATATATATTATATAATACTTATTTTCCAAAAAATACACCTATAAGTTTTGTTTTAAGATTTTGACATAATGACTTGTTGTTAGAAGTTTTATCGGATATTATGCTATGTTTATTTTTATTTATTTTTATGAACTGAAATTTATTATTTATTAGTTTTACTTTTATCGACGTGGATGTTTTTATTTTTGAAAAATTATGAACATTTAAGAAAATTTCGGCTAAGTTTTGAAATCTTAAAGCTTGTGTGGTTTCCGAATTTTTTCCGATATTCCGAAATTTCCGGGCCTTTTGGAATTGGAATGAATTTTTAGATTCCGAAAATTTTGGAATTGGAATTGGAATTGATTTTGTACTTCCAATTTTTTTTGGAAATTTTCCGACAAGGCTAATTCCGATCCGATCCATCCGACTTTCACCCCAAACGGCAGGTGTACACTAATGTTTGCGACGAATATAACCACTTTCGTCGCAAATAAAATACGTCGATGTACTATATTTGGTCGTAAATCTTGTTTTCGTAGACTTATCTTTTGCGACGAATAGTAAGCGTCGCTAATATTGACGACGAATAGAGAAAAACAGTCGCAAATATTTGCAACGGTATAAGAAGTCCGCCGCTAATTAATATAATATTTTATTTTGTTTAAAAAATTATTTGTGATGAAAACATAAGAACGTCGCCACAAACAACGACGATTGTTTAGACATAAACGTCGCAAATGCAAAAAAACTAATTTATCAGATAAAATCGACTTTTGGCGACGAAAATAGCATTCGTTGTTCGGTGTGCGACGGAAGTACTTTTTTGTCGCAGCCTTAGCGACGAGTACATTGACGTTGAATTTGGACCCCCATTGCGACGAAAGTGTAATCTTCGCAATCATCCTAATTTCGTCGCAACGAGCCTAGTTTCGTCGCCTGTGGCCGGTTTTCTACTAGTGTGTCCTCGAGTGTCCGCGTTTCGTGTCTGAAACTTCGACACGTTACGAAGTTGAAGTTTTCCATGTTACATAGCCTGCCAACGATGTAAGATAGAGATCTGTTACCCAACCTACTGACCCACTGGCCACTGCGCACCGGAGCAACAACGGGCCTACCACAAGACCACCCAAAAAATCCATGGGATGTCACTAGTAGAAAAAACGGCTTTTTACTACGACCATTAACCGTAGCAAAATATATCAAATTCGTAGTGAAAAGGCTTTTGCTATGCATTTGCTACGAATTTGCCCCGTAGCATATACGGGCGTGACAAAAACTTTGCTACCGTAAATGGCCGTACCAAATATTTTTTTGCAAACGGTAAATCCTAGTATTTACTACGACTTCAAAATTGTTCCGTAGTAAAAAGTACCTTTTATTACGGTTTTTTACCGTAGAAAAAAAATTCGTAGTAAAAAGCAAATTTTCTACTACTGTATATCAGCCCAATAGTTGAAGGAGGCTTCCAATTATTAGGTCACACTGAATCCCATATTTTCCGATACGAAATGTGCTGTTACAGATGCGTGTTCTTGTCAATTTAAGTTTCATTGATTCAAATCTTTGATTAACGTTTACTAACATAAATAATTTGAGCTTAATCAATCAAATCTTACTATTTGATTAAACTAAATATTAAAAGAAAAATCACAATATAGTATTTTGAGTATATAGTTTTATTTTAAAGTAAGAAAACTAATTGGAATGAGTTATAATCTTTTTTTTTTCTTCTAAATAAACATCTTATTTTATTTTTTATTCGAATTTGTAACATTATCAATTTAATAACCTAGGCGAGCTTGTATTAAGTCATGCATTTGTTTATATTTAAGTGAGTATTCTTTATATTTTTCAATAATGGAGTTTATTAATTTATATAATTAATAATAGATGTTTGGGGATATTGAACCGTAGTTCTTTATACTTTTTAAACTTTAGTATGTTAAATTTGTTCATAATTTATTTAATATTATTTAATCATAATGAATGTCGCATTTAATATTCTATTTAATATTATTTAAATACTTATATTTATTATCACTTTACATTATTTCTTGCCAACATATAAAATGATTGTTAGTAGTGTTATAAAGTTTATGTGCCCAATGGTTTGCAGTGAAAGGTCTCAACTTCAATTCGAGCCAAGCCAGGTCAGTGAGTTGACCTGGCTCGAATCTTTAAAACATATTTAAATTAACTATTTCAGTAAAATATAGTTGATGGTAAATTAGACAATTCGATATTAATCTATTTTATATTGGTTTAATAAAGTAAATAATCGATGAATACTTTGGTAAAATGCTTCATTTTTTGTAACACGAACCATGCTATTTTCTAGGGTCCAAATTTAATCATAGAAAATTAATTATGATTGAAGGATATTTCATATAAGTTTAGAGTACACGGGTATCTCATCCTAGACTAATCCTAACACGTACGAATTTTCTGCATTGACGACAAGAAACATATTCGATTACACAGTTGATCGATCAATACACCACACAATACACACTTTTTATTTTTCTTAAAGATCAATCCTTAAAAGGAAAATTTTCCTTGCCCGTGTCAAGAGACCGGCCCCCTTGACCGGCCAGGAAGATTGCAAATCGATGGATGTGCACCGAATGAGAAGATTCTTAGGTACGAACCCCACACGGGTTCGAATCTGCGGTGAATTAACCTCCATCATCAGCTCTTACTATATACCATTGTATGGCCATGAGCGCATACACCACACAACATAATTATACACGTACGCAATTTAAACGATGGATCATGGATGCATATTGGAATACATCGCATCCTTATTTACGTACCTTGAACGAACATACTTAAACTCTGAATTAAAGTGTCAAAGGAACTCCAATAACGGCAGTTGTCGCCGCTGCAAAAGTAACCCTAGCCAAAATACCAAAAATCTTCCGTTTTCTCCCTTTTTTCTTTCCGCTGCTTGTCAGCGCATCAACCTCATCTTCTGGAATTTCCATCTCGTCACCATCATCGTCACCACCGTCACCATCACAATCACCACCGTCACCGCCATCACCGTCACCACCGTCACCACCATCACCGGATATCGGGATCCCAAGAGGCGGTGGCGGCGTAACAGAGGAGCTATGCTTCCGACTCATCAGCGGCGCCACAGCCGGGGCTTCATGAGCTCGATCTCCAGAAACGCACTCCAGATGGATATCAATGCAGCACGCATCGCATCGGTACCTCCAAGACGTACAACTTATCAAGCACATGGTACAAGTGGCAAGCTCCCCGGTCTGTAGTTTCATAAGATGCTCCGGGTGCTGCGAGAGCCGCGCGTGCAGCGGCAGCTGGGTGCAGAGCGGGTGTAGCTCGACGGCGCACGGTGGGCACGAGTAGTGGAGCCCTTCGATGGGGTCCCTGCAGAGGTCGCATATCCGCTCGGTCAACGGATGCTCGTTGACTAGGGTTAGGGGGTATTCGGTCTGGAGAACCGATGATCGGATCGTGGCCGGACAGGTGGCGCAGAACTCGTGGAGGTTAACATCGCAGGCTTCACAACGGAACCTGGTGCCGTGACCTAGCTCACGGCACCCGTTGCATAGGAATTCATCGGAGATGGTGACGAGGTGGAGCGGGTGTTTCGGATCCGTGAAATGCCGCACCGTTTGTTTCTTTGGAGGTGGCGGAGCCATTAATTAATTTATTTATTTTATCAGTCTTCATTTTATGCGTACATAATTGGCCTTGTATTTATTAAGGTTTCGGGGGAGAAGATGTCTAAACTTTTTTATTGTTAATTATTACACGACCACTTCCTAATACATGAACTAGATCATATAGTATTCCTATTAAAGATTTGTGTCTCCCTCTACGCTCAGTCTTTCAAATTAGAATAAAGCTACTTGGCCAGATTATCTGCCAGCCCAAAAATGGCAAATAAGTAATGTATCACATAAACCTCATTTTAATAATTTTTTGAACCGTAGTTATTTACACTGTATAGATCTGAACCGTAGGAATTAAGAGGGAATCTTGAAGCCAAGACAATTAAGGGAATAAAGTATTGAATTTATAAAAAAAGACTTTTTTGTTTGCAACAAATGCCAATCTCGCAGGCCAGCTTCTGGCTATTTAGCTAATTCAAAATACTCCCGAATGGTTGTAGCTCAACTGATTCTGGAGATGGTAAGTTGGTGCAAGGTCCTAGGATCGAATCCTGGCAGCTACAGTATGGGAATTTCAACTCCAATGAGGGTTGGTTCATTGTGGGCACCGGGTCCGGGTCCGCTACCTTAACGGGGCCGTTGAGTTACCATGATTTACATTCCTCCATCAATCCTTATCGGACCAAGGGATGGGGGTCCTGGGGGCGAGGGATTTCGCCTTTTGGTGCAAGCTAATTCAAAATACATGCATCTTCCTTTATTTATTTTGTTTTGACGAAGCATCTTGCTTCTAAATTTATAACTTTTACATGCTAGTGTTGTATGATACACGTTTTACTCACATATAAATTACCGCAAGTATACAGTATCGCATTTTGCAGAACAGTGGTTCCGGATATTCATCTACAGAGACCTATAGATTCACATGCTGAATAATGTAATTATATTATCGTTATATTATCTAGCCAATCGTAGATAATTGGAATGGTGATAAACCCTAGTTAAATAACATGCATGATCGCAAACATGCAAATATAGAATATACGTAAATAGAATAGCGACAACTCAACACGGAAGGGTTTCGATTTAAAAGGGACTTCTAGGGCAAAATCCACTTATGTATAATCAACAACGATCTACAAATCCGTTATCTAAAGTCACATTCCTATTCGTTAACCCAGACGCTAAAGTACTCTAACCCCCGTCTCCAATGTAGTTAGAGTCTACCTACAGCTCCGACGTCTCCGTTCAGAACCTGCTATTAAGAGAGCATTTAGGTTAAGTCCTTAAGGGCTACCCGAAGTGCATCACATCTCCGATCCGTTTCCACACCCCGAGCTATGTTTTCCTAACTTCAAACAAGAAATCCTCTCTCGAGTTCATTCCTATTTAATATCATTCCGAGAGCTGATTAAACAATCAGAAGCATTTAATACATGAAAACATAAACGAATCAAAACACGACAAATAGATAATAGAAATGACGGTCGAAATAAATATTTACCCTAGAAGAAAATGTTCTTATTTCATAACAAACATTGAGTCAAAAGAATATACACAAGAAATGAAGAACAAAACGTAAAGAAATTGCGTAAGAAAAACCGAAGTCGAAACCCACGATGACGATTCCCGCAAAGAACTATCGAAAACCGTAAAAAGTCGAAGAAGAAATGAAGAATGAAAGGGCCTTCCTATTTATAGTTAAATGCAAAGCTTCCTCAAGAAGCTTTACAAATAAATATCTATTCTCAAAAGTCGTGCCTAGATTGCCATCTGGTTTGGCTGGATCGCGATGTGGCAGCCAATGGGAGCTGCCCACCGCCATGCCAGATCGCGATCCAGACATGTGTATCGCGATCTAGGTCCGAAACAAATCTGCACTGTGAGACCCCCCCAGATCGCGACACAGAGTGCTGGATCGCGATCTGGATCTTGATCAAAAAGTCATCTGTAAAAACCTCTAGATCACGATCTAGGTCTTGATCCTGTTTCTTTCTGCATGCGACATCCCCCAGATCGCGATACGCAGTTCCTGTATCGCGATTTGGGTCTTCTTGGCCCCAAAATTGGCTTGAAAATTTGGTTTCGCTTTCAATTGGCTTCGACTCGGCAAATATCTAACAAAACCTAAAAACATAAATAAAACAAGAAACGCAACAATATATACAAATAAAGGCGAAATTCAAACGAACGAAGACCAAAACTCGAAGATTCGATAAGCAAAAATCGTTCAAAACGAACACTTATCAATATCGACGACTTATGAGGGGCCAAAAACTTTTCTTTGTTGCCCCCCAATTTTGTTGTTTTAGTTTCTTTTAGGGTTTCTAACTAACCCTATTTCCAATCATAATGTTGTATATATTATATTTATATCACATATAATTATATATGCATATTATGTATACATGCATCATTGATTCTAAATATATAGATATTATAAAAAAAAAATTTGTGAGTTGCAAAAAGAACAATTTATTTGATGATCATATGTTTTTCATTTATGAGATTAAATTAAAAACGGATTCCCTATTTATTGATGTTAAATGGATTCCACTAATTAACTGACATGTGCGGTATCTTGTATATTGAGAGAGAAATAGCTGAAACATTGAGTATGGATTTATCATCGATAGATTTCGTGAGAAATGAAAGAACGTCGTGTGCTCTTTTTTTTTATACAATAACAAATTTACGAATTGTGACTTCGGACAATCATTGTTGTTATTTATTTCTATTACATTAGTAAAGTTAAGTAATATTTTAGATAATTTATTAAATATTTTGGTGTCTAATATTGGCCCCCATTGATGAAATCCTAGTTTCAACATTGATTCATGAATCAATTCGCTAGCTCAGGAAAATTTCGCATGACCTCGATGTTTCCATTGATGAAACCTAGTTTCAACATTGATTCATGAATCAATTCGCTAGCTCCGGAAAATTTCGCATGACCTCGATGTTTCCGTTCAGTATTAGGCCAAAGAAGAAAGAGAGTCTCCGAAATTACATTAATTCGAGGCTTACGAGATGGAGAAGTTTTTCAGGTTTTGGCTCTAAAATTAATCTTCGGTTGATTTCAACGACCTGTTGATAAGATCGGAGAAATTCATAAACCTCAAGGAAGCTCAACAACAAAAGTTCGAAGAGCTTGGAACACCTTCGTCCGGTCGTCCTGCCAGCTAATGATCGCCTTTCCTAGGGTATTCATTGTATCTTCTATATATGTGGAAGAATTCAAGAAAAAAAAATCACTACAAAAAAATGTACTTTTTGTGACAATTTATTGTGACAAAAGTAGAATTCGTCACATCAATAACAATTTTATATGACGAAATCAGATGTCGTCTCATAAAATAATGTTTTATGAGACAAAATTGTTTTCGTCACATTAAGTTCGTCTTATGTGACAACATTATAAATTCGTCTTGAAAAGAAATGTCTGACTCATTCCAACGATTGGTGCACTCGTTTTAGTGATAACATTTAGCTGTGTGTTATGACAAAGTAATTTCGTCACATTTATTTTTTATTGTGACAAAATTACTTTTGTCACAAAACCAAATAATTTATAATTAAATATATATTTAATTATAAATCTTTTACAATTAAATCTTTTGTCATTTAGCAATTCAATGTTATTTTTCCCATATATTATTTTGCATCCGTCTCTTGTTATTTTTCTCTCACCATTTTCCTTCCACTCCCTCTCTCGTTTCGCTTGTCGCCTCCGCCACCACCGCCAGCGTTTCGCATGTTGCCTCCGCCACCACCGCCAGCGTTTCGCATGTCGCTTCCGCCACCACCGCCAGCCTTCCGCCGCCTCCGCCAGCCTTCCGCCGCCTCCGCCACCACTAGCCTCTCAATCGATTCAAGTAAGGTAATTTTGTCGTTCTCAATCTCTAACTCTAGCCTCTCTACCTCTGCTCATCTGTCATTTTTTTTCTCCCCCAATCTGCAATCGAATGTTAGGATTTTGGTTAGAAGTGCGTAAACTGGAGTTTTTGAGCCTCTACATCTACACCATTGTTATTTTTCTTCTCTCTAATTCTGAAATCTAATGTTAAGGTTTTGGCTAAAAGTTCGTAAACTGGTTTTTTTTCCTCAAAATTAAATTAAGGATATCTAATTAAATTTTCAAAATTCATTGAAGAATTCTTCGGTGTTTGAATCTAAATTAGGTTTTCTGAATCAGAATTATGGAGTTTTCTTGTATGGTGCTTCAATGGAAGTGTAATAATGAAGCCCTAAAGGAAGAAATGAAGAGTGAAACGAGCATAGATAAAAATTGAAGTGCATAGATGGAACCCCCTTTCTCTTGTTTACTATTAATTAATTCGCTTTAGCCCAAATACTTTTGTGTTCTCCTTTGTTGGTTCATCTGCTTCTCTTGTGTCCGTTGAAATCGGCATTGACTTTACTGACTGTCTCTAAGTTATTGTATGAATATACTTATGGTTTACTTATATGAATTTTTGGTTTATTTGATTGACTAATTAAGATGAACCGAGGATTAAAAAGCGCAAAAGCAAGGAAGATGACGAAAAACATAAATCTCACAAAAATTTCCAAGCGCCAATGAGAAAGGTATTTTCCAATACCTGAATTCCATTTAAATTGGGGTTAATATGATATTTGTTAAAACCTTGGCATACAAAAAAGATCTCTTCAGCTAAATAATGGTAAATGAACCAACGGTACGAAGATAAAGAAGAGAGAACAGAGGGGGTAGGCTAAAGAAGAAAGAACAGAGGGGGTAGGTGAAATGTTAACCGTTAATACACGCGCATGTTTCTCTTATTCAAATTCCAAGGTAATGATTTTTCATTTGCAGTATGTTTAATTTCGATTTGGTTTTCTTCTTTGTTGTAGATAATTTGATAAAGATTGGGAAATTTCTATCCCTAATTTCTCTCTTAAGATGGGATTCACTACACACCAACTTCTGCAAAGCTACTCTCTTTTAGACTCTGAATGTAAGAAAATTGATTGTTGTCTGTTAGATGAGTCCAGTCGAAATCGATGTAAATATCGAGTCGTTTTTTCCGTAACTAATGTTGATTGCTAACTTCAACTGTGAAAATATGTGATATCTCCGCATTGATTAGTTACCGATGCTTTCTCTAATGCTGGAGTACTTCAAATGCAGGCGTATGGGATGTCGTCGTATCAGGTGCAAAAACGAGCGACGATTATTCAATTAATTGCTAGATAATATTCTATGTTCTTTTTGGAACTAATGACTCCTTTGGATTGTGTTGTTACACCAGGTGTTGATGGCATCGAAGTTTCTTCTTCTTCTTCGGTTGAAGAGTTCAAGTTTACAGCCACATCTTCTGACAAAGACGACGAACTAAAGGTAGTGAATACTGTAATAGTTTCTCATTATGTTGATAGTTTGTAATGACTTCTTTCTTTTGGGGTTTTTTTTTTTTTTTTTTTTCATGGTTTCTTTGCAGATCACTGTAGAGGTTTCCGGAACCAAAACGCAAGAAATTCTAGGCCTGTCGAAAGTGTACGACCAAGTTATTAAGAAAGTGATAAGCATTGCAATTGCTAAATATGTAGCTAAGGTATATATGTTGCTGCATTTACTCGACTGCATATTCATCGAATGGGGTTATTTTATATAAATATAATTTTCTTGAAATTGCAGGAAGGTTTGAAAGTTGGTAAAGATTTACAAATCTTTAAATGGAATTCAGGTCTTGGATTGTTGTCAAGTTTCCGACTTGTTTGGCAATTTTAAATTGAAGGAGACTTAGTCTATATTAGCTTGGGCATTCAACGTGGATTTGTATTTGTTCTAAATTATCTCACATTTTGCTTAGGAAAATTAGTAACTGTGCTAATAAGTTTACTTTTGGATTGGGATATTCCGCTCCATATTAAATTATTTTTCATTTCTATTACTTGTTATGGTGGCCTTGAAATTTTAACCAATTCGAATTTCTTGCTTCAGATAACAAGTTGAGTGGGAAACATAAAGACAAAAGCCGAAGCATGATAATTCTTCAGTTGTGAGTTTCTTGCTAAACTCTATATGCCCCCGAAAAGTGTTTATGCATGTCACCGGGTGATGAATTGATTATAATTCAATCTGAATCGCCTGTGTAACACGAAAATTCATTTTAACTAACACAAAATTTTAGATAATAGTTTTAATTAATGCCATCTCTGGTTCTTTTTGCAGGAAGAACAACACTATGGGATTTCTCCTCTGCTACAAAATCAAAATCACTTATGGTGGTGTTGTCAGGGGCATGCACCTTGGTTCCTTTCTAAGATTTAACTTACTATGCATAAAGTTAGTGTGTTAGTATAGTTGTCTAATTATTGATTTTCCCTTTGCAGTATAACAAGCAAGGAATGAGCCTTTAGCGAGATGGATTGAGTAGAACCAATCACTTTCTTAGTCATGGTTTCTCTTCATTGTACGGTTTGTATGGATTTCAGATTTCTTAATACTTTTCGTATTCATTATACAATATACTAATTATTGATCAATATGATAAAGTTGCTATACGAGTATCTTTGGTTGTGTAGACTGTATCCTTATTACTGCAGCTTGATTACGTTTAAGTTCATATTGCTTGAAAGGAAAAGTTTCCGTGCAAAGGTGCATCTTTGTCTTCATGTATTAGTACTACAGCTTGATTGCTTTAAGTTCATGTTAGTATTTGCATATTCCGCTCAATAATTTCCATGGTGAAAAGTTAGAATTCATTAAATTTCAGAACCCTCTTAGGTACTTGTTCAGTTATTTAACGTCACAAATCTTTAAGTTTCAGGTTTTTAAAGAATTAAGAAGTTAGACAATTTTTCGAGAACTCCCGTTTCATCATTTGAAGCAATGGTTGGAAATAGAATTGCTACATTTTACTTATCCATTGAAGTACAAAGAAGATTGTGAGGAGGAAGGATATCGCTCCACTAAAGGAAGGACGGTGTATTTATATATTATGTAGTTTATATTTTAATGTAAGTTTCAATTTAATTTGTATGTGAAATGGTACGATATATTGCAATACAATTTTATTTTCAAAATCGTTGTTTAGGTTTTTGGAATTGTATTATTAGTTTATTTAATTTAAATGGTAAAAATATGAATAATATAAATAGTATATAACAAATTATATATTTATAATAAAATTTTGAAAAATAACTTTTTGTGACGAAATAATTGTCTCAACAGATATTGTGTCTTTTGCGACAAAATAATTTGTCACAAGAAGTAAGTGAACAGTTTACTTCTTGTGACGACAACTGTTTTAGTGACGAACATATTCGGTTTATGCGACGAACACTTCGTCGCAACAATACAACTTTCAGTGACGAAATTTGCTTTTGTCACAATATTTGGTGACGAAAACATCAGTTCGTCACATAACACCTTTCGCGACGGGGCCTACGCGACGACCCCTTGACGAAATATATTGTCACCTAATTTTTTTTGCGACAATATATTGAGTTTTTGCGACGAATTCTTACGTCACATAAAACAGTTTTTTTTGTAGTGAATATTAGTGAATGACTTTTGTTAGAATAAAAATAAATTATGCTGCTTCAATTAACAACAAAAGTCAATTGATAACTGCAGAGAGAGATTTCATATAAATCTTTTGTTTTATGTTTTATTTTTTTAAATGATCATATAAATAAATAAATAAATAAATCAATCAATAAATAAATAAATAAATAAATAAATAAATAAATAAATAAATAAATAAAAAATTAATTATATTGTAGCTATCAGCTTCGTATTATAAGTTGACATGCACTTGGTCGGTTACTCTTGACCACGCGTTGTTATTTCAAAAGTTAGTACGATTTGCAAGTTATTATACTCAGAACATTTATACGGTTGATTGTCGGTTCCTTCATTACGAGGGGAAAAAAAAAGAGCTACGATCATGAAATATCATATGAAGTCATTATATAAATTATTTTTGACAACTCATTTGAATCGTGTTGTATTTGTTACCTGTTTATTCTTCCATTACCAAATTATCAAGAGTACAAAATGATAGTATAAATTTTGGTGTTATTGCTCGAAATGTAGTATTTTGGCACCTTTTGCATCTTCGAAAAAAATAATAGCACTTCGAAAGATGATAAATTATTCACGTTGCATCCCAGTTGAAAATTAAAGGTTAATGAGGAAATTTTTTTTTTTTAGTAGTATTTTCAAGTGAAATTTTTTTTTGAATGATAATATATAATTCTAATAATAGGATTCTAAAAAAAAAAAATCACGAAATTATTGGGTAGGTACGGCTTTTATCGGAAGGGGGTGCTAAATCCTACACTAAAAGTTACCAAATCCCGCACATAAATTAAAAATATTCTCTCTTTACAAAATATTTTCTCTCACTTCTCTCTAACTTTTTCTAGGGTTCTCTACACAAAAAGTTACTAAATCCCGCACATAAAAAAAATACTTTCTATAAAAAGATATTTTCTTTCTACGCTCTATTTTTTCGACTTCTCTCCAACTTTTTTCTAGGGTTTTCAAAATACTAAGAAGTCGTCAAAAGTCGTTTTTTGTTACGTAATAATCATCAAATAATGAGTTCAATACCTTCTAACGACAATCCACTTCAACCGGATGTAAGATTTTAATTCTTTTTGCCAAAACTTAGTCATACGCAGAGGGCAGACAACCTGGAAGACGAAACAGATAGCGCGCACATGTTGGGCGCGCAGTACACTGATTCGCGTCCAATGTGGGCACCGTATACTCTATCACAAAAAGTATGACCTATACTTAGCTTAATGCTATGCTTTCAGCTAAGTATAGATCATACTTTTTGTGATAGAGTATACGTCACTTGTGATCAGTTTGAGAAAAAGCAGGTGAAATGAAAGAATATGAGCTGATTGCAAATACCTCCCCTGTGTAATCTCTAATTGGCAAAACCCCCCCTGTAAAAAAAAACTCACCAACGCCCCCCTATATAATCAAAGTCAATGCATCTAGACCCCTACATGCAATTCGTGTCTCTCACTCGCGGGCTGTGCGGATTTTTATGTTATTTCTAGGGTGAAATGTCATAAATACCCTGTATAAATAAAATAAAAAAAGAAATCTGACAGATTAAATTATAAATAACTATAATTTATAGGACCAAATTGTAAATTTTCAAAATTGCAAGATAAGGAACAACTCTTTTTCCCCATTTCATTCCGCCGTCCACCTCCCAACCAGGAAACGTTCGGCATCGCCGCCGCCTTATGGCCCACCTAGCACCACCACCGCCTTCTGGTCCATCTAGCACCACTACCGCCTTCTGGCCCGTCACGCACCACCGCCACCCACCTACTACTTCAAATTGCTCTCCATCACCGCCGCCGTCTGACACCACCCATTTGGCCATTTCTTAGTAAGAGAGATATGAGAGAGTTGTGTATGGGTAAGTCGGTGGTGGTGGAAGAAGGGTGAGCCGGTGGTGGGGCAGCGGCGTGGGAAGAAGAAACATTGAGTTGGGTGGTTGGTGGGGTGGGGTGGAGCGGGGAAGAAGAAGACTAATTTTGCCTTTTTTTTATGTAAATTAAAATGTAATATGAAAATATATAAAATATATAATTTTTTAATATAACAGTATATGTTTTAATTTTATTTTATATTTTATTTTATACTTTATTTTTATAATTACAAAATTAATAACATAAAAAATAAATATGTAAAATAGGTGTTTAATTTTATTTTATAATTTCACAGTTGAGAATATTTTAAAAAATAAATATGTAAAATAAATATAAATCATATATATTTTACTAATTGCTGTAAAATCTCTTAGGGCATTTTTGTCATTTCACTTTTAGTTAATGCCTAAAAACACAGAGGGTGCTATGAGTTTTGAATTTGATTCACGGAGGGACGTTGGTGAGTTTTTTTTTGACAGGGGGTATTTCCCAATTAGAGATTACACAGGGGAGGTATTTGCAATTAGCTCGAGAGAATAGAGGTGTAGAAAGTACAAAAGTACTAGCACGAAAAAATATAATTGTGGTTTTCAGCTGAAGGGGGCTCTACAAGCAGAGGAAAAATGAGAACTCTCTATAGTTTATGGGAAGCATAAGCATCCTCCGGCCTCGAAGCACGGTCTTTATAAACAACTCTCGTAGAAACAGTATGAAGTTACCGAGATGTTGACGAGAAGTCACGTGAAGCCTAAGAATATTTGAAACCATCTTCGACGTGAAGATCCAAATATTACCACTTCGTTGAAATACATTTATAATGCAAGACTCAAAATTAAAATTAAATTAATGGGCGGAAAGACAGTTATTCAACATTTGATGCAGTGTATCGATGAGAGCAAGTATATACAGCGAAACCGCGCCAATTCAATGACGAATGAGATTATTGACTTGGTGTTTGTTGATCCTCGAATTCCTGATATGCTGAAGTTGTTCCCGTATGTCCTACTCATGGACTCTACATATAAGACCAATAGGTAATTATTCGTTTATAGTTGATGGAATCTAATTTGGAGTTTAATTTTTTTTTTAATATTAATATTAAATAATTATTTTGTAATAGGTACAAGATGCCATTACTTGAGATTGTAGGTGTGACCCCAATTTGAAAAAAAATTACAGTTGCAATTGCATTTATGCATCATGAAAACGAAGAACACTATAATTGGGTATTGAGTCAAGTAAAATCAATATTTTATGGTTGCTCAGAACCAGGAGTAATTGTGACAGATAGGGAGTTAGGCCTTATTAAGGCGATAGAGCATGTGTTTCCATGTTCATACCATTTATTGTGCATTTTTCCTATCAATAGGAATGTGAGACTGCATGCTACACGACATATGGGCAACAAAAGAAATCTTGGCGTTGCATTTGCCCAAGGACCATGGAAAAAACTAGTCATGTCATTATCCGAGGAGGAGTTTACTACAAACTATGCGAAGATGTCGGCTGAATACGAAGCCCACTACGATCTAATGAAGTATCTTCAAGATACATGGATCATGTATAAAGAAAGATTTGTGCGTGCTTGGACGGATAAAATTTTCCACTTAGGCAATACGTCGACAAATAGGTAATTTTTAAGTTTCCTTTTTCTTGAATAATTTATAATTCATATTTTTCTATGTTTTGAATCACTTGATATTTAAATTCTTTCACAGTTGAGAGTGCTCATTCAGCTTTTAAGGACTGGGTTGAGTCATCGACCAGTGCTTTTGACATGATTTGGACGGAACATGTGTCGAATAGGGATTGCCAGATTAACGAGATAAATTCAGAATTTGAAAAGTCGAAGAGGATTAGATTGAACATTGCCTCAAATCCAATTCTTTGAATTTTGGAATATGGAGTTTTTTCGCACAATGCACTTCGCAAGTTGGACAAAGAACGTCTGAGAGATGCAAGTACTTGTACCTGTTTTTTAAGAAAGACTCACGGCCTTCTATGTGCACATGAGATTGCTGTCAAGATTAGTAGCGGTGACGTGATTCATTTTGAGAAAGTTCATGTTTTCTGGAGGACTTTGTCGTTTGATGTCGGCCCAAATTTACTTGTGTTGTTCCCGATCATAGAGCCGAGCTGGTGAAAAGATTAAACGAATTATTTATTGAGATGTCTACCCGATCTGATGTTGAGTTTCGTGATATAGTTGATATGATATTTTCAAAATTGCATCCTGCGGAGAAAGAGTTAATCGAGCCGACGGCGCAACGACCGAGAGGTCGACCGAAGAAAAATTCTACACATAGAGATCCATCTGCTTGGGAGTATCCGATTAGTAAGAAATTTTCAAGATGAATAAATAGAGGACGTGGATTATCTTTTAACAAATCGCACCATGACAAAAGATCTACATCCACGGTTGACCGTGATCCAATACAGCAGGTGCCACCATGTTTTTTTTCGATATATACACTATGCGCTTGTGCCTGATGTCAGATCGTGTGTTGATGTTAGAGGTGATGGTAATTGTGGATTTAGATGTGTAGCACATGCAGTTAAGGGACATGAGAATCATTGGTTAGAGGTTAGACATGACCTTTTCCATCATATGAGAGGTCATATGGATCTTTACACATATTTTTTTGGTTCACGTGATTATTTAGGCCTTGTGGTGAAAACATTGTGTCACTGGGACGATATCCCTGCACCTCCTGAAAGGTGGATGAGCTTGTTTGATTTGGCTACATTCATAGCAACATGTTATAATTTAATGGTTATGGAGTTGGGCAATCCACAAAAGCAGACTCATTTATCACTTTTCTCCTCAAATGGTGCTATGCAGCTAGAGATCAACATATTATTAATACGCGGCCGATCTCATTTCATTTATCTTGATATGTCTCTCAACTATCCTTTACCTCCGATAACCACGATGTGGCATCGATACAGAAAGGACAACGTTGTTCACTTGGAGAGAAAAATTCAAGCTAGACGTGGAAACTGTGACTTACTTATTAATAGAGTGTAATTTTATGATTTTATGAAACATTATTGCATAAGTTGCACATTATTATGAATTTGATATTTTTTTTTCTTCTTATTACGTTTCTTTAATTTTGTTGGGGTTGATATTATACAATTATTAAACAACTATTAATTGTATTACAATTATTTGAGGAGAATTTTTTTTTTTTCAAATTATTAAACAATTGAAATTAGATTAAAAGAAAAAAAGATGCGATCAAGTTGCATATAGTGAACACACAACATGCACCCAAGTTGGACTCGGTTAGCACATCATAGGCGCCCCAACCAGTGGCGTTATATGTCAGGCGCGCTGTGTATGCGAACTGTGTCCAACCGGGACGCGAGTGTGTGTCCGATCAAGTTGGATACGGTGAACACACAACATGTACCCAAATTGAAAGCGGTCAGCACACTATAGACGCCCCAAGCAGTGGAGTTATACCAGCAAGGTGCGCTTATATCAGGCGCGCCGTGTATGCAAACCGCGTCCAATCAGGACGCGAGTGTGTGTGAATCACGTTCAAATACGACATACACTTCCTTTTTTTCCACCATCAATTGTTTAATAAATCGAAAACGAACTCCTATTTTCAACCCCAATTTTGGAAAATAAAATAAATAGAGTATAAATCGTTCAGCTAAAAATTATTTTACGATCTTATTTTGTTTGGAAACTAAACTAAATAGTATATAAGATATTTTTTTCGTACTTAGTATGGAAATAATTCATCTAAAAAATAAGATATTTGTCCGTACTTAGTACATAAATAATTCAAGAAATAATTCATCAATAGTATACACACACTTTGTTTAGAAGTGTTCAGTATTTTTATTGTTATATTATATGCTTTTATTTTATTTGTTATACATGTAGTAAATCAACTTTTGAACAACATGTACTAAAATATTCTATATATTTTGTTCACGAAGTGTAAAACCAAACATATAAAAAGAACATATTTCTACACAAGTTTTACCCATAAAAGTGCAATCCAAACTAATTGTTCAATGCAAAAACTTAAAAAAAAAAAAATCACCATCTTTCAATATGATTCCACCATTAATAAATTCATCAAAACTCAAGAAGTTTAAACCCATAAAACAAAGTAATTATAGAATCATCGAAAATCAACTAATAATTATAGAATTCATCGGAAACAAGTGGTTATAAATCCTAAGAAACCAAGAACTACTAATTCATAAAAAAAAAAATATAAACTAACAAGTCCAACATCTTTAATCCTACAAATTAAACTAACTACTGATGACGTCTTACCCTCCTAGAGCTCGTCATGCTAGTAGACGGGTCAACAGCTAAATCGTTGTCTCCTTCTGGTTGCCCCGACTGTTGCACATCCAATCGAAGTTGTTCAGCAAATGGTCTACATAACTCATGCAGGTGCAAAATGATGCTATCTGGTACCACGTGGTAATCAGGAATATCTAATGGAAGCAAACGATCAAGTGGACAAGACGTGTGATGTTGAATATTGCGGGAACCGGATTTGGCGATCGTTTCTGCATGCGATCATCACCTGGATGTACAAGTGGATGTGTACGCTCAAGGTACCAATCCATGTATTCTTCAGCAACCTGAAAACTTGGAACTGCATGGACACCATAGTGGTTGTAATCCAGTTCATGTACTGAGGGGATATTCCAATTTCCATCTTCAGGATCATAAACAACACGATAAGTAATATGTTTTCTCCCCCTTTTAGTCTTGGCAGTCGGAGGTAACGGAGAAGCATGTATGATTTGCTTCCAACCAAACTGTCGCAAAAATCTATCCGGCATATACGGCTCAACGATTTTCAACCACCGAATTTCGCCATGGTAGATTGTCTTTGTTACATCTAATGACATGTTCACTCCAAACGGTACCAAGTCCATCTATAAAAAAATGAAATAGATGTTAAATATTTAAAAAAATTTAAATATTTATTCAATATTTATTAATTACTAAATATTTATTAAACATGTACTCAATATTTATTAAATTTCTAATTATTTAATTCTAAAATATTTATTCAGTATTCATCAAATTTATTAAAAACTTATTAATCATTAAATATTTATTAAAAATTTAACAAAAAATAAATTATAATGAAAAGGACAATCCATTTATTAACATTACTCAATATAAAAATTAAAACTTACCTCACTAGTCTCTAGACTGTCGATATATCGTCGACAATATCCCATATCCCTAACCGTTTTTCTTGCGATTTCTCCGGAATCTTCCATTTCATACATCGTGGCCGACTTTCATCATATGTACCTAATACAGGGGTCGGAAACATGAAAATACTCGTATATCGAAGACTGTTTGATGATACATTCATTAGGGACACAATAAAATATTCATATAGATAAATCAACTATGAGTTAAAATCAATACCTCCAACAATACGAATGGACTCCCTATCTGCTTCACTTCGGCTCACGAAGCTGCACCTAATTGACGGTACAAATATACCGATGCACCCGAACCCCATGAATATTGATCGACTTTCGAAATATCTTCAATCAATGGGCTGTGTGTTGGCTAAAACATGCCCCCGTCTTCTCAACGATCAATGTGGAGCCGATAAGATATAAGATATATCTTTGAGCACGAGTCTCAGCAGAGTCATCATCCTTGCAAAGTGCAACAACTTCCCCATACGTTGAACCTTTATTGCCAAACCATTCGCGCACCTTTAAAAGTGGAGCAGACAAACAACGAGAAGCAGCTCTAATCTCATTCTCTCGGTCTCCAATGGCGAGTGGTAGCTTTCCAAAAATGTCTAATCACATGATATTACGAACATTATGGAGGGTGATGGACATCTCTCCGAACGACATATGGAATGTGTTCGTGTCTGGCTGCCATCTCTCAACAAATGCAGAAATCAGTGCTGAGTTATGATGAGCAAATGTACAATCTTTCAGTTGGTACAATCCCGATTGCTCCAACAACTCTAAACTATCTCGATCAGCGGGGCCTCTCCAAGTCTGAAGAGATATGATGCGAGACTGACACTTCAACACACCACGCAATTTGCTCATCCATATATTAAAAGCAACATGAGAACCAAAACTTGGGATCATATTGATAATCTTAGGTCCTCCCGGTGCTGGCTCTAGCAACTTCCATAGGTGACTAGGTTCCATAACACCAACACCTTGAACGGGAACACCATTACCCTCAGCTACATCATTAATTGGATCATCAACCGGCTCATCAACCGCCTCATCATCAAACAAATGGTGCTCATCAATGTTTGGATACTCAAACTCATCATTTACGGTATGCGATGAGGGTCCCTCTCCGACAATATCCATACGATCATTGTGTGTGTCGTCATCCACAAAATTGCTATACATATGGTGTCGAGCATCGTGGGATGCTTTAGCTTACCACGATCGGACATTGTAACAATACGGTCCTTTAATCTACCACATGTTCGTTGTTCCTTATCAGCTCTACGTCGACGAGGTATCTGTAAAAAAAAAAACAATTACCAAACATATTTATTAAACATTTAAAAAAATTTAACATAAATTAAGCATTTATTAAATATTTGAAAGTTATTTAGTGTTTATTAAACAAGTTTAAACATTTATTCAATATTTATTAAATATTTATTAATTATTAAATATTTATTAAACATGTATTCAATTTTTATTAAATTTCTAATTATTTAATCCTAAAATATTTTATAAGGTATTCAGTATTTATAAAGTATTAAAATTTAATCAATATTAAAATTTATTCAGTATTAAAGTATTCTAAATTATTAAACATGTATTTAGTATTTATAAAGTATTAAAATTTTATTAATCATTAAATATTTGTTAAAAATTTAAGAAATAACTGAATTGATATGAATTTAAAAAAAAAAAGAAAAAAAGAAACCTACTGCCCACAAAACATGTAAGAATTAATCTAATTGAATTAAATTTTAGGAAAAAAAAACAAAACCATCACAGCTTCGCTTCCAGTTTTATTAATTCAATTTTATTACTTCTCAATATATGGTGTGTGGTAGAGGGTGATGAAAGGCCTGCCATGAAAATTAAAATTTTGAATACTTTGCACCAAGAAGAGAAATATTTTGATATGGGTGATGTTAGAATTTTATTTCGTGCAAATATAAATTATTTATGTTAGATTCAATTTTCCGTTACTATTGTGTGCAGTGATGCAACAGTTTGTGAAACAGTTTGTAAAAACAGAAATAAACGAGACACATATTTAATGTGGTTCGGATACAACTGTACCCTATATCCACGAGGATCTGCAAAAACGAATATTCACTATTTTAGTTTTACAAGCACAATAAGGACTCCCTCTTTATCTTGACGTCGTTCTTGTGCAATACTCAAAACTAGTAACTCCGATTATGCCAGCCTCCTCTCCGCTCGGATGAACTCTCTTCAACGCTGAATCCCTTCAGTCGGCGGATCGATCTCCTCCTGAGATCTGTTTATGCCCCTCTCCCAAAGAACCGATCTTCTTTTTTGTATAGAAGAAGAAACTTGTGATAGTCCTTGATTCTTGGTGTCTTCACCACAAAGCCTTGAATCTGATATTTTTCTCTGAAAATCACGTATCACGATGAATCAATAAAAACAAGAGGAAAAAATATTTTCTCAGAAAAAATTCTCTTGATAAAAAGTCACCACTAAAAACGAGAGTAAAGAAAATATCCTGTGTAAATTTTTCTCTCAAAGAAGGCGTAAAGCTTTATGCTGAAATTGCTCTACTTTTATATCATAATTCATAAGATCCCTATACAAGGAAAAGTCAGAGACCAAAATATTAAAAATACTTAAGTAACATAGGAATTTAAATCTTAGAGATATAGGAGATTTTTTATTGCCTTATCAATAAATAATTCTCATATCTATTAAAACTCTAGTAATATATATGACAATTATAATTAAAAGACCCATAATAAAATATTTCTTCTTTATAGGAGGATTCCAAGACTTATGAACAAAGTTAGATAGGATTTTAATTACTAGAAATCCAATAAGATTCTAACAGATTGAGGGTATTTTCATCTTTGCAATAATATTTATTTTTATAGTGGAAAGTGTCAAGTTATAAATTTTCCTCTACCATTGGATCATTTCTCACAAAATTACTTAAAAATTACATTTATTTATATTAAAAATTGCAAATTTTGTTGTTCTTTTGATCAAAAAACCTACACTGGGATAATTTTATTAAAATATATATCAACGTCGAGAATGCAATATGAACGATTTAATATACATTTTGAAGGTACAAAGTGCTATTAATTTTTTTTGGGGTGCAAAGCGTCAAAATGTCATATTTTAAGGGTGCAAAGTAAAACCAAGCCGTACTGGTATAAAACGAAATACTGATTGCAAAAAATATTACAAGAGAAGAAAAGCGACCACAAGAGAGGAAGCGAAGAGAGCGAGGGAATAAACTATTGCAGTCGGAGCCAGACCTTCTATACCTATTGCCGCTGATCTTTAAGTTAGTCATGTTCGTACTCCGTTGCAGTATGCGTACTATGATGACAATGAGATGGTGGCTAATGATAATAGCGATGATGACGAGGAGATGGCGGCTAATGATGACGGCAATGATGATCATGATGGTGGTAAGCCCACACGTAAAGGTGTTCGTGGCATCAATTTTGGATGGTCCGCCGTATTTGGAGAGTCCGTGGAAGAGAGGGCCAGAAAATTTGGAGTTTATGCGTTGGTTCAAGTCACATATAGCGATATATGTTTGGGATGGAAATATAAGTTTGTTTTTAATACGTCTTTTTATATATTTTCATAATATGTGTTTTCGCCATCTAATATATGCAATTTAATTTAGGAACGTCGTGCTACTGGACGGGTCGAGTCGAGAAATAAAGCACTGGAAAACTACATCGGCCCGCTGCTTGACACGATGATTAGCATGTTGGATGTAATCGGGATTTGCCACTTACGACACTGGTGGCTCCCAAATATGAATCAACATCTAATTAGCGTTCGTCTAGAGGTGGCAGTCGAAGACGAACAACTTCCACATGCAGTGGGGAGAGATGACGATCACGCTCCACGATATCGTTTTCATCATGGGGTTGAGAGTGGACGGACCGTTAGTCGCAGAATTTTTCCAATCATTAGAGTGCTCCCAAACTTGCATCTCGATTGGGGATTGAGGTGATGCCTACGACTGACATGTTTCGAAACAAAGGAATTAATTGGACAATGGGGACAGAGCTCTTGAACAAGCAATCTGCCACACATGAGAAGAAGATGCAAGGATATCTGACGTTTTTGCTGGGGTCGTTTTTGTTTGTAGACAAAACATCTTCGATGATGAAGTCGTGGTGGATACATTATACGAATGATATCGACAGAGTCGACCGGTATTTATGGGTTGCGGCTGGCTTAACAAACATAGACCGGCAATTGGGTATTGATCGTCGCGCTGGGATGAATGAACTTTATGGGTGCACGATTCTCCATCTGGTAATTATATTAACATTATCTATTTTATTTATTTATTTATTTTTTGTACAATGTGTGGTGTTTTTAATACGATATGTATTTTTTCTGCAGTGTTGGATATTTGGTATTTTCTTTGCTTTCGACTAAAGGTTTTCCCGACATATACAGAGTTCCAGCCTCGGTGCAGTATGTGGATCTCTAGTGGTAGTTGCAGGAATAAATTGCAGTATTATCGAAAGTTGCTCGACGACATGTCAGAAAGAGATGTAAGTTAACTTGTAATTTAAATTGATTTTTGCGTTCGTAATATTCTTTTTCTAACTTGTGTCAAACTTGTATAGGTTTACTGGCCACCTTACGGGGCTGGTGCACATTACAAGGTTCCTCGTTGTTGTATTATGACACTATATAGTTCATGGAGATAATTGAGTCGTACATGCCAGACCGTGTGTTGCGACAATATGGTAGAGTCAAGACGATTCCGTTTCATATTATCGAATCTGCCGAGCCGCACCACTGATGTATGTATGCTAAGGGTTACAAGGTCACATTTCACACACCCGACGGCTTGCGGGAGAACGAAAATGCCAACTTCATTAACTTATCGAACTACGAGGAAGCGTGGCCTCCTGTAACAGTTCATCCGAATCATATGAAGTGGTATGTGAAACATACGAACCGATTTGTGTGCAACCCCAGAAGAGTGCCAGCTGTATCACCCGAGCGAACTGTCATTGTTTGCGTGAATTCATGCGAGTACCATTTTTTTAAATATAACAAAATTTAAATTAAAAGCTAAAAACAATAACAAAGTTCAACATCCAAATACACTGAAAAAACGTCAAATCTACCTATATCTAGTACTTAACGTCGTCCACAAAGCTAGTCGATCAGCGTAAAAATCTTGTAAGGCCAGTAAATTGGGAGTTGCGTAATACCTCCACTGAAGATGGAGGCAAGATAGAGGGCAGTAAATCGGTACTCGAATGATCATGAAATAATAGTTATGTAATGACATATGAACAATATTTGATAATGCATGATTCTTAACTAGAGGTAGATAAGTAAAACTACCCAACTCAGTGAATATCAGCACAATTGCGTTGTATCTCGTTTATCACCTACTCAACCGGTGCAACTTTACTCTCAAATGCAGTAGAAATTATGAAAAATTGACTGAAATAATGCAACTCGAATGTTTCTGTATCTTCATCAACGTTTATGTATACTTCATGTTTTCAAATAAATGTAGTAAAAAAAATAAAAAAATACGTAAAAAAATTAAAATAGAGCTCTCTTAATTTAACCCCAGCACCGTCTCAGGTCTCGCGTATACTCACACAACCACTGAGAATGTGCACGCATGAACTCACACGAACAAAAAAAATTTAAAATCATCTCCTCGTGTGGTTTTGCGCTAACACATGGCATGTGGTCGCTCAAAGTCAAACGACCTCAAGAAATAATTTTTTTTATATATTCGTGTGATATTGTTACACGACCACGTGCCATGTGGTCGTGTATTATCACACGAGTACATGAATATTCGAGAAAAAATGAAAACATTATCCGGGTCTATATTGGTTGTATCCATTTCAGAAATTGTTGAATATGTAAATTTTTTGAATTGAATGTTCTATTAGTGTTTTTAAAGGCTTATAGGGTTTGGTAGAAAAAATGTAAAAAGGTAAAAATTTATGGTAAAAAGGTCAAAAGTAATGATAAAAAAAATATATATATATATATATATATATATATATATATATATATATATATATATATATATGGATACAACCAATATATATATATTATATATATATATATATATATATATATATATATTATATTTATATATA